ATCAAGAAGATGCCTCTCAGACATGGCCACAGGCCAGTCTAATAGAGGTAATTCCCCAATTGAGGCTCCCTCAACCCAGGTGTGTCAAGTTGGCACTAAAGCTATCCAGCACAATGTGCAAATCTGTTTCATTTATATTGGAATTGGGGTGAAATGAAGTCAGAAGGCTAGAGGGCACTTAGCACCTGTGGATCTGGGCTGTAGCTACAAGGCAAGCTGTGCACTGTTTACAGTTGTTGTGTTTGCTCCATTTAACCTAACAGAGACTTGCTCTGCCTGTGTTTTAATCTTTTTAGCATTTCTCTTGGTATTAAGTGCAATTACACATCTGTTGGTTACATAATTTAAACTTTAGAATGCATATGCAAGACAGGACGTTGATCCTTAAACTTGTGTTCCAGCAGCGTCTCTGCCTTTAGGCTGGTGGGAAGCACTGATTATCAGCAGCTTTCCCGGCCAACAAACAACAGCTTTTCTTTGACGTCAATTTTGTTTGACATTTGAAGGATTAATTTGACTGGTGTTTGCCCTCTTCCCATGGTTGTGCACTTTACTGGTGTTCTTGGGAAATCCACTGGGCATTTCTCGGTCTGTATCAAATGCCGCTTCTCATATTGGAGGCGTGTGATAATTGTGGGAGGAATTCTGTGGTTGCTGACAGGACATCATGATCAAGTATTACGAGTTCCTGTAGGTAGGGAATGTGGGAGACAGAACATGCCAGTACTGCAGAGATTGAGACCTTCTCTGGGCCTGGATCACAGATAAGAAGCAAACCAGAGAAAGCAGAGCACTGGAGGAGCAGAAACCAAGGGTCTGGCAGAGGACTGCTGACCTGCTGCATTTGAGAATTCAGACCATGGGTTCTTTTTTTTTTTTTAAATTTCCTGTAACTATTTAGTATGAGTCTCTTAAATTCTTAATTTAATTCTTTTAGGTTCTAAATCTAAAGTTCTGAATTCTGACTCAACTGTCCTGAGGAATTCCAAGGGAAAGACTCCTCTGTGTGGAGCCGCAATAAGTGGTGCTAGAGGTGGGAGCCTGAGAGGTGGAGAAATTCAGTCACCCGGTCTCCCCTAGGACTTCTCAACCTCTGACCTTCCTTCAGGGCTGTTCTTGACAGGGTGGGTGTTTCTTTATAGGGCCTGGAGATCCCACTATTACCACTGCAAGGTAAAACCAGGTGCTCACTGAGGCCTAAAGGCCATGATTCCAAGAGAGGGGTGATTCCATGTGGAAGTACAGAGAGTCGGGTGGTTAAATTTGGTTGGTCAATTTGACTGGATTGAGGGCTATCTAGCACAGCATTATCTGGGTGTGTCCTGACAGGGTGAAGATTTGTGTGTAGGTCAGCAAACTGACGGGGAAGCTCCACCCTGGATGTGGATGTGACATTCGATAGGCTGGGGGTCCAGATGGAATGGAAAAGCAGAAATGAGATGGCTCAATGGGTAAAGACGCTTACTGTGCATGCATGGTACCCTGGGTTGATCCCTAGAACCCACATGATGGAAGAGTCAAGAATTGATTCTTGTAAGTTGTCCCCTGACCACCACACATGTGCTGTGGCATGCACATGCCCACACATTCTCTCATTCATGCACACACATAAGTAAATTTAAATGTTTTTTGTTTCGTTTTGTTTTGTTTCATTTGACTGGGTGGCCCTAGGCACAGCCTGCCTGGAAGTCATGATATGTACCGGGCTGGCCTCGACCTCACAGAGATCCACCAGCTTCTGCCTTTGGAGGACTGGGATTTAAAGGCACGTGCCACCACGTCCGGAGTTAAATTAATGTTTTTTTAAGTAGAAGAGAGAAGATGGCGCATACTTCTTGAATGGTGCCCTTTCCTGCACTGCCGTTGTTCTTGGATAGCAGGCTCCAGCCTCTTCAGTGTTTGACTTGAACCAGCAGCTCCAGGGGCTTTCAGACCCTTGGCCTCAGATGGGGTCTGTGCTATGGGCCGCTCTCATTCTGAGCCTACAGCTCCCAGCACTGAGCAACTACCAATTCCTTCAGCTGTTCAGCCTGCAGGGAGCCTTTGTGGGATTATTCAGGCACTGAGTGGGTAAGCCAATCAAACAATCCCTTCTCTTAATCATATTTCCTATTGATTCTCTTCCTCCAGAGACTCTTGACTCACACTGAAGGCAACAGAATCTGTGAGAATCCGGGATGCTGTAAGAGAAATCTGGTTTCCCACCAGACAAGCTCTTCCTTTTTCAGAATCACAGGCCTCAGATCTGCCGCTGTCATGTCCACTTTCCTGCTCATTCCCTTCCTCGATGTGCACTAACACCCGCTTAGCAGAAAGAATTGGGGAGCCAGAAGGTGAGGGCACTGTGCCTGCAATCAAAAGCGATTTCAGCTGGATAAACGCATCTCCCCTCAGCCTCATCAGCCACTCTCCAATTTATTTTGTGGCTGTCAATCTCAGCAACCCATCATTTCATCGTGGATCAGCCCACCTAATCGGGCCCGAGGGCTGGGAGGAAGGGGAGGCAACTTGCTAGCCTGTGAGTCCAACGTTCATTTATTGGATATCTTCTAAATACAGAGCCAGTCACTGAATACACAATGCCAAGGCTGGCAGAGCCCCAATAAATCATCAGCTGACCCCATATTTTACAGGTGGTGGCACTTACATGGAGAGGTTAAGTGACTGGCTTAAGGTCCCCCAGCAGAGCTAAGGTCAGAATTCCGATTCCCTATCAGCATTGGCTTCCTCCCCAGCCTATAGCAGGCCAGGTGAAGAAGATGGATTAGTTTATGTGAGCATAAAACAGAAGAAAAGACACACATTTCCCTTAAGTGCTTTAAATGGAATTAATATGACCCCGGATGGAGAAAAGGCAGACAGCAGAAATGTTTAGAAAGTGAAGCGCGAAAGCATGGGGGTAAACGCTTTCCTGCAAACGGTGATCATACTGGGACAACGAAAGCGAGAAACAGGACCGGCTGTTTGTTTTGTGTTGCTGTAACAGAATACCACAGATTGGGTAGTTTATCAGGAAAACGATTTTATTTCTTGTAGTTCTGGAAGTCGAGACGTTCAAGGTTGAGAAGCGCACTCTGGGGAGGGTTCCTGCGCTACCTCGTCCTATGGCAGATGGGAGAAGGGCAAGAGTGCTTGAGAGGCAAGAGTACCAGCGAGGGCAGGAGTCATTTGCATAGCAAACCCACCTTCTTGGTAACTAACCTACTTCCTCAGTTACGACATCAGTCCGTTCCTAAGCACCTCTGACATTTCTTCCCTCCCATCACTAATACTGACAGTGAAGGTGCATGAACGTTTGGAACACATTCAAACCACGGCAGGGGAGGGGGACTCTCCACTGGTTTTCCTTCCCGGCTGCATTAATTCTTTAACCTCCATTCTCATCACCACAGGACACGATTCTTAGGCCATTTTTCTTTTGCCTTGACATGTTCATCACCTTATTTTCATACCAGACCATAAACTTCAGTACACACAGGCTTTTAAATCAGCTATATTTGATGCAAGAATACACAGCAAGTTTTGAACCTTTTAATAAAATTGACTTGGGACATCTGGCACTAAAATATTTATATTTCCTTCTTATTGGAAAGTCTGCTCTGCATTTGCCGTCTTAAAAAGTAACACAGGGATGAACATGAGTTGACAGTTTGAAAACAAGAAAACAATAGCAATAAAACCAGATTTTACTGATTTCAAGTAAAGAAGCCTCACAATAGGACATTGAGAGCGACATTTGCAGTAATTGGTTATTTATAATTGATTCATAAATGTGTATTAACCAGTCTACTAATTTTTTCCTCACAGTAATAGAAGACCAAAATAAATGTTATTGGAATTTAATTCTAAAAATATAAATGTTGTAAAGTCTTTGGAAAATAAAGCATTTTCACTTTTCTGGTGTTTCAAACTGGAATATGCTAATGTATTCATACAACCTTAGCTAAATTGGGGCTCTAGGTAGCCTTTGGGATGTTTGCCAGTTGGAAAATGCATGAAGGTGCTACAGCATTGTCAGGTATGGATACATTTATTTTTAAGAATGAATGGTCAAGCTGTTGCTACAGCTTAGGAATAAGAGGCACCAAGGACTATTGGTTTTGAAGTCCAAAGGCTAGCCCACGGGTATTATTGAGGAAGAGCATCATGAGGCACCAAATGCCCCTTTGTGGATAGCATGATAATTATCTTGCCCCTAATAGCTGTTGATCAAAACACTACTGGTTTGAGACATATGAATGGATATGAGAATTAGCACTTTTTTCTTTTGATTGTTATCTGTCATATTTGTCATCTGTTTTAGGCAGAAATGTATCCATATCTGAAATAAGATTGATTTATCGTTCTAAATTAGCGAAAAGAAGTTGAGCTTGAAATGCTACTACAGTTCCTTAATTCCTACCCTAAGTGAAATAAGCAAATGGATTGGAGCCACCTCAGTACTTGGCTGGCTGGTGGAGCCCCTCTCTCCACCCCAATGCATCCCTGTTGCTGGGTGAGCTTTGCCAGCACAGGACAGAAGCCCAGCATTACCTGGAGGAAACAGAAAATACAACGTGCAGCACCAGAGCCTCCAGGAGGGCAGGCTGTAGCTCAGGGTGCAGCCCCTCAAACAAATGTGTTCATAGTCAGCGTTGAGGAGGACTTAGGCTTCTTTGTCTAGAGATAAAGCAACTGGTGATTGGGAGGTAAAGGCCTAACCCAAGGACAGTTTACTGGTAGCTGAATTAAGACTTGCATACAGATCTCTGATTTCTACAAACGACTACTCTATCAATCATGCATGAAAATACCATTACTCACAGGCTTGTATTAACTTGTCCTTCCCTTTGGGAAGGCTCAGGTTTCTTCAGTGACCTCTGCGTTGTTTCTGTTTGTGCATTTACATTTGTGTTAGGGAAGAGATGGATTTGTGCTCCAGGACACGGTATTATTTGTGGTTTGAAGTTAGGTGTGCAGTGTCATTTGACTACCAGATTCAGAACATAAGCTGTACTTACCCATACTGAACAATACCCATTAGCGGACCTGCAGGGCCAATGTCAAGAGCCTGGACAACGTCAGCCAGGAACTGCTTCTGGATTTGGAATCGACGTTTACCGATGCTGGAGCTCCCATCAATTAAAAATGACAAGTCAACTTTGCAGTCTGAGGAATAGAGAAAATGCTGTGATTCTGTCCCTTAGTGCCCACACCTAGGCATCTTGTTTCCTTTCACCACCAGCCTCAAGCAGGTGGAAGCAAAGTAGAAGGTGCAGGGTATGTTTGGGGTGTATTTTTCTGAGCACCAGCATCCTGGACATTTGGGTTTGTTCCTGTTTCTACACCCGTTTTAGAATTCTCTAGATCAGCCACTGCAGACCAGAAGCTAGCGACACTCCAGTCTTGCTTGGAAAGATCCTCAAAATGGATTTCCAGGCTCAGACCACAGATGTACAGTCTCCTAGAGGCTGAAGAGATGGCTCAGTGGGTAAGAGTGCTTGCTAAGTAAGGATGGTAAGACTTGAGTTTGGATCCCCAGCATGCACATTAAAAGCTTAGAGTGCAAGTTTGGTTCCCAACACTTTTACGGTAGCTAACAATGGCCTGTAACTCCAGTTCTAGGGGATTTGATGCCCTCTTGGGCCTCTGCAGGCATTGCATACATGTGGTACACTTACACACATGCAGGTAAAACACTCATAAACATAAAATAAAAATAAATAAACCAAAAAAAAGTCTAGAAGCTATTAAATCAGCTTAATTTTCACAGCAACAAATAAAGCAGCAACTTAGTAAGAAAAAAAAATCTGGACATCACTATACACATGCCTATAAAACCAGTGCTGTGTGAGGCATAGTTAGGAGAATTGCTGGGGCTTGCTGGCCAGTCAGTCTAGCTGAAGCAGTGAGTCCCAGATTCAGTGAGAGACACTGTCTCAAGGGAACAAGACAGAGAATAATAGAACAGGACTGCTGACATCATTTTCTGGCCTCTACACACATGCACATAGGTGAGCCCATCTGCGCAAAGATGTGTGGGTAAGACACACACACACACACACGCAAAGTACAGACTCCTAGATGTGGGAATTTACCAAGACTAAGTATTAAGAACTTATGGTCATTTAATTCTCATCCGTTTTTAGAGACATGTTAGGTATGAAAGGATCTGAAAGTCCAGCACTAAGGGGAAGACAGGAACTGTAGGATAAGAAACAGATACGATATTTTTGCACTTCCTTGGGTGAGGTGACCAAAGAAATGAGTCATATGTATCTATAACATGTCAGCATTTGTTTATAACTATGTTTGATTCCTCCCCCCTTCAGCTGTGAAAGAATAGGTTAAGTTATTCAGGGTTAGGATTTCTGACCTCTTCAAATATACTAATCCTCCCTTGTCCACTGAGGTTGTGTTCTAAAACATAAAGAGGATGCCTGAAACCCCAGATAGACTTGAACCATATATAAATTCTGTTTTCCCATATGTGCATATCAACCATAAAGTTTAATTCATAAGTTATTCACAGTCAGAAAATAATAATAGCAAATCAGAGCAATTTTAACAATGCACTATAATAAAATTATTAAAAACATAAGAATAATTTATTTCTGGAATTTTCCATTTAATATTTTCAGATCATGGTTGACCTTGGGTAACTGACACTGTGGAAAAATAAAATGACGTGTAAGGGGGGAAGTACTGTGTAAGGAGGTTTGATAGAGGAAAAGGGATGGTGAGGCTGAAGGCTGGTTTCAACCTTTCAAAGCTACACAGGCCAGCAAAGTTAGGGGTTTTTACTCTCCTCTACAAGGATACTGTCTCAGGATGATAAAACTAATGATCTGAGGGTCTTATTGGGAGTCATATAGTCTTATGATTAATAAAATATGAAGAATGAATTACTGAATGATTACAATTTTAAGAGACAAGAATATTTCAAAAACAGCCCACAGAAAAACACAGTAAGGAGCATCCAAGAACACCTGAGGGCTAGCGCCCCCTTGTGGACAGGGGAAAGTTGCCCAGACACTTGTGTGTGTGGAGGCTGTGCATGGTCACCAAGTTTTCTACAGGGAATGCCAGGCTTCCCTGGGGCTAGAGTTGCCCATCCTCCATGAACAGAAGCTCAATGGGCAATGAAAGGCTGTTGAAAGTACTAAATGGAGGGCTGGAGAGATGACTCAGTGATTAAGAGCACTGGTTACTTTTCCAGAAAATCTGAGTTTGATTGCCAGCACTCACATGCCAGCTAACAACTGTCCATAACTCCAATTTCAGAGACTCTGATGCCCTCTTCTAGCCTCTGTGAGTGCTTGTGGTGCACTTACATGCAGGTAAAGCATGCATACAAATAAAATTCATACATATAAAATACAAATAAATCTTTTTTTAAAGAAGAAAGTACCAAGTGGATGTGAACTGACAAAGTTTTAAGTAGAAGTAATAAACATTTATTGATGATAAATCAATAAATGCAGAATCAATAGACCAAGAAAAGCCTGTATTTGAGAATGTGTTGTAGAGGCCATGGAAACCAGAGGAGCTGGTTTTCAGGAGACCACAGAGACCTCTCTCTGGTCTGTCTGCCTCTGATCCATCTAGTTTGTGACTCATTCTTTAGCAAATATTAGAGCTTTTTCCTCTGGTCTGCAGAGACTGGACCTTCAGTGCCTCCCAGTCTTCCCTGTCCTGCTGGCTTTCTCTGGCCTTTGCTGCCTCTCGTTCTGCCATCATGCTTGCAGGAAACAAATGAAATCCAAATTTATTTTAAAGACTCCATGAAAAACTGCTTTATCCAGCAAAAGTCAGGCAGAATTGCTTGCTGTAATGCTTCTCCTGTGGGGGATACCCAAACGGACAACTGGTGTTCTAGGTCTTGCCTTGCAGTGTGAGTTACTGCCAGCAGGTGGCAGTGATGGTCTTCAGGGCTTTCCGCCCACTAACACCTACAGTTTGCTGGTAATGTGGACTCTTGGGATCCACTCAAACCTACAGAATTAGATTTACATTTAAATATGATCCCCAAGTGGTTCGTGTGCACAGTAAAGTTTGAGAAGCACTCCTGAAGTGGGGTTTTCCTTCCAGGTGTCAGCAGATTAGTTCAGTATGTCTTTTAAAATAACTTCAAGTAAAACTTAAGAGTAAGGGCTAAAGGGGGTTTCCCCCTATTCATTTATTTTCAGTGAGAAAAGTCATGGACTGGGTAGTTTCTATTTTGATTGTTCATGGACATTTTTCTCATTTCTTACACCTTGAACCATGTTCAGGAATGACACATTCATTCTCTCTCTTTTTAGTCTTTTTAGACAGGGTCTCCCTGTAGCCCCAGCTGACCCAGGTAGACCAGGCTGGCTTCGATCTCACAGAAATCCTCCTGCCTCTGCCTCCTGAGTGCTGGGATTAAAGGTGTGCACCACCATGCCCAGCTGACACTTTCATTTCTAGGCCAGGCGTTTATCTACTTAGGTCTCTTCACCCACTGGCCTGATAGTAAACGGCAGACATAGTCACCTTTGTTCCCTTTCTCAGGACTGTTATTTTCAGGGCAGGGGATCAACTGCCGGGCCTTACACTTGCTAGGCATGCACTCTGTCACTGAGCAGAACCCACTCCCTAACTCCCCAGAGGTCTTAAACTCAGTGCTTCCATTGCATGGCATATATAGGCGAAGACCCAATGGACTTCTCATGTAGAAATAAAAACCTGCTGGTCAGAAGATGACATCAGCACTAATGGGTAGAATCAGGTTATGAGATGTTCAGTACAAGTGGCTTATTTATGGTCACAGGAGAGGTTGGGGATGAGAAAGGAAAGGCCAGGTGCAGTGCCTATAGGAATCAATCCATCAGTTTCCTTAATTGCTGTGGTACATTCTTCACGGTACAAGTCTATAGATTGGTGCTTTGAGTTGTCTAATGCATCAGATCAGCATGTCTTAACTCTGGGTGATATCAGAGCCACACACAGGTCAGAGCTGCCTGTGCATCTTCCACAAATATACCTGGGGTCACTCTCAGAGTTCATGTACCAAGGAGTCACTGGTAGATTCAGTCATAGAATCAGTCGGTCTGGGTGGAGCCTCAGGGTCTATGTTTGTTACAAGCTCCTAGGACAACATGCTGATGCTATTGGTCCTCAGACCACATTTGGAGTAGTCAAGTCTGGGGAGGGTCTGATATGATAGGTATGAGGCAAAAGATGGGCATCTTTAATTTTAAACTTGTCTCCATACGGTTCTTACACGCAGTGGAGGTGAGAAAGCCCACGGGTGGCTGGCTGGTGCCAATTTTCTAGGGGACTTTGCAAGTGCTTTCTTTGGGCACCTTTCTGGTTTTCTTTTCTCCCTGGTCCCTCTTTGCTATTTACCCAGGTGTCTCCTCCACTTCCGAGGTTCTTCACCTGCTGCAAGTCCTCGATTTCTTTTTATTCCACTTTATCTCGATACACTTACAGTCTCATAGTCTTAGCTTTGGGCCATAGCCAGTCATCTTCCAACTCTAAGTTTATTTATTCTGATGTATTTTAATACCCATTTCACATTCCTTTTTTATTTGACAAAGAATGGTAGAATAACTATGCTCAACTGTCCTCTTGACTCCTTCAACCCAGCCTGAATTTCTGATTCAGCTGTCCCATCACATTCAAGTATTCTATCTTGCTATTAGACTGAATGTCTTAGAGAAGATAACAGACACAGTCTTCCTGCCCCCAAACCTGTTCCATCTTGTGTTACCCACCACAGTACCATTATCCAGTTACCATAATACCCAAGTCATTAAAAATTTTTAAAATTACATACACACACACGTGTGTGTGTGTGTGTGTGTGTGTGTGTGTGTACATGCCATAGCATGTGTATGGAGGTCAGAGGACAATTTTCAGAAGTTGGTTCTCTCTTTCCACCATTGTAGGTCCAGCGGCAAGTGCTTTTACCTCACCAGGCCTGCTGAAGTCATTGTTAACTGTCCCATCTCTATACCCTACTCCAACCCCATAGAGCCTTCCCTTTCTTTATTCTTGAATCTACATATTCTCTCATTTCCACTTCTAAATCCAAGCCCTGGCTACTGTCACCTCCGTGGTACCCCTGCTGACCCGTCTGTCCATTCCTTTCATTGACCCTAGCTCTGCATCCCTTCCCTTTCTTCACCCTGTTGCCATAGTGATATTTTTAAAACCTAATCTTCTCCCCCTCACACATACTTTAAATCCTTCAAAAGTTTTCCTTTCTCCTTAGAACAAAGTGACAGAAGAGAGGAGATAAATAGATCCAGGGTAGAAGAGAAGCAGGCTTGGGTGGGAGTGAGTGGGTAGAGAAGAGAGAGCAGATCTGATGTCAAAACCACCATGGCTTTCTTGTTGTCAGTTAACTTACTTGGATCTCCCTGGGATACTGGCTCCGAAGACTGTGTGCTGAGTTCTTCTTTTGGAACAAATCCTGGAAAGAGCAGTAAAACTTTTGGTAACTAACAAGAATAGGAAGCACCTAGCCTTACCCCAGAGAAGGGGCCAGAGTGGATATTCACACCAGTGAATCCCCCCCCCCAATCCTGAGAAAAAGAGTAAGTTCATACACACTGACAGCCCGCTAAAGACAGTACTCCGTTGGATCTTCAGGGGGACTTGAAAGCAGCTTTGAGTTCTGCTCTTATTTAATTTGTCCTATCAGAGCCTTAGTTGACTTCGGTGAAAGCACTAAGAACTTGGCAGTGTAAATTATCATTCTCTGGCCAGGCGTGGTCGTGCATGCCTTTAGTCCCAGCACTCAGAGGCAGAGTCAGGCAAATCTCTGTGAGTTCAAGGCAAGCCTGGTCTACATAGCAAGTTCCAGGCCAGCTGGGGCTACAGGGAGATCC